AATATATGCAGTGTATTATTTGTTGAAACTGTACTTCCGATTTGATTTGAAACTGTCTCATTGCTGTTTATCAATAAAACTTTGGAAAAAAAAATGTATTTTGTATCTACTGAGTCTTTACCTTATGCCCCACCAAAACAGATTTTAGATTGCAGTTTTAAAACACTAAAACGCCAGTCAATTCAAATAAACCTGAGATGTTCACTGTCTGAGTTTCCAGTTTCCAGTGCTGCCAAAATAAGCAACAGATTCAGTTACAGCAGACTTATGGAGGCTTTCAAATTGTTATATAAAATATTTCTAATAAAATATACCTTCAAATATCTAACTTTTTTTTTTTTTTTTTTTTTTTTAGTACAAGATCTACAGGGTCTCACTACTCAGATCAGACGTATAGTGATCGTCCTGTTTTCAGCCTCCCAAGCACCGGGATTACAGGTACGTGCCACCACGCCCAGTCTCAATCACTGTCTCAGTGCGCCCCGGGGCAAATATGCAACATTTCTAATAACAGTTTCTCACAACCACATAGAAGGTAGCTCTATACTAAATTCACAAATCTTTAATAAATGAAATTCAAATAATTTTTTTTTAAATGTCTACTTGTGTGTAGCACTTAGGAGGCTACCCAGGAGGATAATGGGTTCAAGACCAGGCTGCATTACAAAGTGAGCTCAAGGCCAGCCTGAACTGCATAGGGAGACCCAGTCTCAAAAAGAAAAAAAAGTCTATTTGTGCCACACTATTGGAATAATGGACAAGAAATTTTATCTTCATTTTCCCAGGAAATCAAATCTTTGGTCATATGCAATTTCCAGTCAGTACATTATTCCTATTTTTTAATACAAAGTACAGCCACACCAAACAAAATCATAAAGCTGGTGTTCCATGTAGGAGAACAGCCAGGTGCCCGGATCTGCCTGCCAAGGCATAAGCTAATACTCACCAGTAGGTGGATTGGAAGAAACAGGGGGAGCTTGAGAAGTGAAGCCATCAGCAAGGGTCTGGGTGCCCCCCGCAGCGGCATCTGGGGCAGCAGAGGGGGGAGCGGCAGCAGGAGCAAGAGGGGAAGGGGCTGAGGCAGAAGTAGCAGGCAGGGGAGGAGTGCCGGCAGAGCCAGCGGGGGCTGAGGAAAAGAGGAGCAAGAGGCAGGTTAGGGCAGTCAGGAGAGCAGAGTCAGAAAAGGCATCAGAGTAGTTTGTGTTAGACATTCAGCGCTCTCGCTAATGAAGAGAGAGAGGTGACAATAACATGGCGCTAAGGGTGAAGGCCAATTAGTGTGCAGACAATAATTTCAGATGCTCAGGGAAACATTCAGGTTTTTGGTTTTTTTTTTTTTAACTCATTTTAAAAAGAAGGCATTCATTTTTTACCTGCAAGCAACCAATCTAGAAAAAAGTGCTCCCTGCATAATTATTTTAGCATAACATTCAGTACATAGTTTATAAAATTAAATATAACACATTTTAAAAACAGTATTCCACTTGACAACTCAGAAAATACGATATATATTCCAGATAATATCTCAACAGGTGGGCAGGGGAGATAGCTCAGTAGAATAACTGCTTGCCTGGCAAGCACAAGGGCCTGAGTTCAATCCCCAGTACCACCAAAAAAAAAAAAATTTTAACAGGTAAAAAAGAACTTTAAAAACCCACAAATCTTTTCTCATGATTTGTTAAAACACATTATCTATCTGTTACTAGCATAAGTAAATATGTAATATCTTAGCTAGATGTCTTGTAATGGTTTTAAAATTAAATTTTAATAGTTTCCTCAGATTATATAAGCACATTTTTCTGATTAAAAGGAAAAGGGTAGCATTCCGGAGATTACTAACAAAATATCCCTTTTTTTTTTTTCTTTCTATTTTTCTCACACCAAGTCCCTTCTGTGTCCAAGGACACACAATGTCATAACACTGGCTTAAGTTAAACATGCAACTCATACCAAAGTGGCACTGGCTCAGCCACCATACCAAAGGCACTGAACCAAGTTAACAGAAGCACAGAGAAAAAGCAAAAACAAGTCATAGCAGTACGTTAAAATAACAAATACATAAAGACTTTCCAATACTCAAGAGGCCCTAATGGAATAAAAAAAGTGTGATTAAGAAGAAAGTACACTGCAATTCAATCTCAAATTGAACTCAAATTTCATGACAGAGAGAAAGCACTGCTGGTGTTTTACCTGGAAAGACACTGGGAGGAGACGGCGTGGGAACAGCAATAGGGACCCCCACACTCCCACTTCCACTGTTCTCCCGACTGCTGCTGCGACTACTCGGGTGGCTTCCTCCACTACTCCCACTGCTGCTAAAGAGATAAGCGCCACCGAAATATGAGCATTTACGCACACAAAGAGATCATTAGCATTTCCCAAAATGTTCTAAAATGAAGATAGCTACAAAAAAGATCATTAAAAAGCCTTTCATTTCAAATATGAATTTTGTAATAAAATTAGGTAAAAGGCTGAGTTCATTAAGCTTGTTTTAACATCTTTTAATAAGATATATGAAGAAAAATTACAAAAAGTTCTCCATAAATATAAATCAAAAATGTTGGAGCTCAACACAACAAATACTCCCGTTTAATGACTATCTGAAGAAACCTAATAAAAACATTTTCCTAAATAATTTAAATTTGTAGCATATCCCATTCCAGTGTTTTGTTATGTATAGTTTTTCATCTGTAAAGTTCCACCAAAAAACAAGTTGAAGTTTGCCATATCTGGTCCATAATTGTTTTTTCAGATGAACTGAACTATTATCTCTGTATAAAAGTTTTCACTTTGAGATGTCTGCTTGTTTCCAACTTTCTGACTTCTCAAAGTTGCATCAGAAATGAGGAGAGAGAGATGGAATTAGATGAGGTTTGGAAGAGTAGAGTGAGGAAAAGAGTTTAGACTTAGCACTTGGAAGGTGGTAAATTCCACTGACGTTATCTGAGCAGATTATGGTACTGTGACCATCACATTTTGCGCTGAGGTAAAGAAAATACCTGTAGGTTCGATTTCTTTGATTCACAGAAGCTGTCCTCACAGGGCTCTGCTGCGAGGGAGCCATATTACGGGTTGGGCTAGGTACGTAATCATTTGGTACCACTGGAGGACGCACTGGCTCCAGTGTGCGATAGGGGGAGTGCCGCCTACAAAAAGAAGAGTGCATGTATGGTGTCGTTAAGCAGTCTCTCACAGTCAATTCAAAGAGCTGCCTGTAGTGAAATACGATTTGTAATCATATATAGAAAATGTGCTTTGACCCAGCTACCAATTTCAGTCTTCCCTGAGGTATCACCTCTCCACCATCAGAGCTGTAGTATGTGCTATTATTTTCAACCTCCAACCTCATTTCCCTGTGTTAAAGCAATTTTGTTCATTTATTCTCAGCAGCACAAAGGTTCTCCACCACTAAAGCCAATGCTTTCTAGACACTATCCTTTTCTTACAACTATTTCAGTCCTGTACTTAGCCTGTCAGTCTCCTGCTGCACTGCATGAATGCACTAATAATGATCTGCCTCTCAACTCTCTCCCTAACCAAGATACTCAAAGACAAATCAAGATTTTGGGTCCACAAACCCAGAGTTATGATCAGTAACAGCCATAACAAGTTATTTCTGAGTTTTTTACATACTGAATACAAAAAAGTCTAACTAAACACAAAAATACATGACTTTATCTCATCTTCCATTCTCATAACCTTACTTTCTCAACTTTGCCTTGATCTCTTCCCTCTTTCCTCAGAGTTCATCACTTATGAAGAGGAAAGAAAAAACTTGTTTAAAGACCACATAAACAATGCTAGACAGTGAGTGCCTGTAGCATTAGTACTTAGAGAGCTGACACAGGATCATTACTGAGCCCCTCAGTTCAAGACCAGCCTGGGCAACACAGCAAAACTCTGTATGAAGCAAATAAAAACACTTAAATCCTTTTACTGTGTTATTCTGAACGGTAAAATACAAGCCAGACTATAACCTATATTTCCCTTTTTTCCCAATTTTTCTTTTTCAAGCAAGAAAGCAAATATAGAATTTTAACAGAAAAAAGGTGCAAATTGGAACATAAGTGATTAATAAGTTCATCTGCATTTCTAAAGTTTCCAAATTCTTTTTGACAGTGATAAGTATGAAACTAACATCTTAAAGACAAGATTCTGGTCTTCAGAAAAAACTGACATCTCAAGATTTTATAAAAACTAAAGTTGTCTTCTCCTGAAGTAACTGGCTCCACTGCCATCTATGTCTCCCTAATTCATTCTAAAAAGTTCCCAGAGTTTCCCTAAGAATAGGCTCCAGGGCCACTCAAATTATCATCTATTAATTTTGAGTGACAAGATTTTGCAATGAGCCTGCTGTATCTATGACCCTCAGAGTCTCCTCACGTAAAAGCATACTTTGATAATTAAATGTAAGTAAGGAGAGCAAGATGAGATATTGGATCAAACAAAAATAGTTTCAGGACCCTGGATTTAAAATACCAAAACTGTATCTCTGAAATTATTATACAAATATAAAAACAAATTAGAATTTCCAAACATTTTTTAAATGTTCAGTCAATGTTTCCTGGAAAATAAAAATGCTGTTCCATCTAAGAAGAAAAAAAAAAATCTTTCTTAATTGAGAACAGAGTGGAGGAATGGTAAGAACAAGATAAAAGAATACTGGAGAGGGGAACAAAATATGGTGACTAAGCAAAGCCTGGAAAGCACAGACCATGGCCAGTAGACCACTAACTGGCTGTTGTCCTCAACAACCCTGGTCTCTAAGGTTCCTACAGAACCACTGCTGCTGCCCACAGAAAACAAACACTAGAATATGAGCAAATCTTCAAAATTTGTGAGCAAGAAAAAAATTTATTATATTAGAGAATAAGCAGGTATCTTATAATTTGCTTTTGCTGGGAAGTTTTTGTTTTTTGGTTTTGATGGTCCTAGGTATGGAACCCAGGACCTTCAGTAAGTAGCTCAGGCTGGGCTCCAAGTTGGCAATACACCTGTTTCAGCTTCCCAGGGCACTGAGATTACAAGGGTGCACCACCATAGTAAGAATCTTGATTTAAAGCCTAACAAAATCCATTAGGCACTATACACACAGTGCAAATGCAAACATTCTACAAGAAAGTAATTCGTCTCGATCCCTCTACTCTTATTTCTGCACCATTATAACCTACAACAACATCATTCTACCTGAAGATCAAATCTATGTGATCCACCAGAAGCCTTCCTGTTTATTCCAAGCAGAAATTTTCTGACCACCTCAAATAAAGTCATTCTACTCCTAGTTGATAAGCATTCTTATTCTTTGTCTGTCACTGTCCTAATTCTTTTTCCAACATTGTCCTTCTTTATACCCAAATTTATTTTTGTCTTGTCCTCATCTACAGTGCCTGATTGTATTTTGTTTTAGGGAAATTTTTTTTCTTCTTTTTTTTTTTTCTTTTTTTTGGTGAGGGGGCTAAAAACAGGATTCCCAATTTAAAAGTTTTAGTATATATCATAAAGCCAATGGTTATCAAACATTTTGTCTTATATAATCTTTTAAAATCCAATTTGTGGTATGGTGACCCTGAAAAGGTGATAGAGGACAAATATTACCCCCTTTTACAGATGAAAAAACTGAATTGTTGAAAGGCTGAGCATGCACAACAACAGGGCAAATAGTAGTGATAAATCAGAATGATAGCCATCTGACTTCTAGGCTGCACTTAAGCCCAGCTGACCACAAATTCTGACTGTGTTAAACCAAGTTTATGTTATGATGTTACTTAAGAAAACAGTCAACCTTTTCTGTTATTGATCACTTTTGCTAAAAGTCATATCCAGAGCCCAATTCTGTGGCACCAAATCAAAGCTTAGTAGCCTTATAATGTGTATACCGCATTTCATAATCTATACAACCTTCATTGAGAAGGATAGTCTAAATTCAACTGTAGTACAAAAGTACAAAATTTTTCTAGGAAACAAAGAGGAAGTAAACTTAGACTGTAATTTATAATAAGCCATGAATTTATGCTAGGATTTTATCAATTTAAAGTTCATTAGAAAAGCAATTTCTAAACAGATCTTTTTAAAGTACAAACATGTGCTTCCAAGAAAAAAGTTATATACACAAAAATAATCCCAAAAAGAGAACGTTCTCTCTTCAAATGTTCAAAAATAATTTAAATACATGTTGTGTTCGTTTTTAGCACAACATTACGTGAAATGCAGGTACTATTACTTAGGCATATACTCACCCAAGTGTTCCCTTCCCTGACACAGGGGGGCTGGGCGGTTTCTGACTTGGAGGTGTTGTGCGTGGCAGCCCACCCATCTTCATGTTTTGGGTACTCACCTAAAAAAAATTTGAGAAAAGCTCAACTTTATGCAATGAAATCAAATGGCACTTTGGAGGAACAATGCTAAGCTATTTAACAAAAGAGGGAAGGTTTAAATATAGGGGAAAAAATTAGAGGCCATGCATTTCAATATGCAATTTCTACTCTATTATTCCACAGTTGTACTCAAAGGACTCTTCCTAACATATTTTTAAATAATTATCAACTTGTATGCAAAGAGTTTATTTGCCATTAGGCCATCACACCAACAAATCACTGGTTAGATGATTTTATATTATATTCAACTGAAATTAAATAGGCTAACTATAAAAATTTTAGTTTTAAAAAAATCAGAAACAATGAAGCCTTTAAGCACTTCATTATTTTCAGATAGCAACCATACCATAAAACACTTTCCAACTAAAAATACGCAGCTATAAATATGATCCATTGTAACTAGAGAATACAAGCTGCATTATATAGAAAAAGTGGTTTAAGTTGTAGATTGCCCTTTTAACAATTCAGATTTCTCTAATGTTCTCTCATGAGGAAGTCACCTACCTGAAAACTGCTAGAAGTTCAAGGCATACTCCTAAGCACCTGACCCAGACAGTAGGGCTGAGGTATTGCACTCAACTGTGAGCACTCCAAGGGTCACTGCTAGCGCCCTCATTCCAACGGGAGTTGGGGCTACTCAGGCCCATGGGGGATTAATTCCGGCATGAGAAAGGTATGAAATAGTATCTCCACTCACTATTCTATCCCCAACTGAAACTGCAGGGGTAAGAAAGATGGGTAATCTAGGAAAATGTCACCAAAGGAGTATGTCAGCACTTAAAAGAAGAAAGCCCTAGAAATCTCAGGATCTTATATGTAGCTAAGAGAAGGCACTCAAAATACAGTTCAAATATAATCTCAGGTTGTTTGAGATTATCAATGGGTTAAGTTAATGTTCACCAAATAGGTTCTTACCAGGCCCTACTCTATGCCTCTAATATTTTGGACTGCCATCTTCAAAATACACTTCAAAAAGGTTATCAATTTTCTAATAACAGTATGTATACAATATTCAAATACTTGTAAGATGAAACTATGATATTTCTACTGAAGATAATATATTTATAATTGTGGTTTTAAGATATAAATTTTTAAACGTGCATCGTAATTGTACATCAGAGTATTATGACTACCACAATTAACTCTGGTTTGGGTGGGATTTTTTTTAAGTGCTAAATTTCTTTTTTTTTTTTTTTTTTTTATTATTTATTTGAGAGAGAGAGAGAGAGAGAGAGAGAGAGAGAGAGAGAGAGAGAGAGAGAGAGAGAGTGGTGTGTGTGTGTGTGGCCAGCTCAGCCCACCAGGGGGCGGGGCTGGCTGGCATGTGGTGCTGGGGGATTGAACCGCGGTCCCTGATGCTTTAGGTAAGCTTGTTCTAAGTAGGTGCTTTTAGACCTAAGTGCTAAATTTCTACCAATTGTGTGAACAGGCAAGAAATTACATATCAAGAAATAGAGTCTTCAGATGAATAGCCCAGTGAACAAGTTGTATGTGATGTTAAAACAATCTTTAATGATAAATGATACCTTTGAAATGTCATTTTTAAGTGAAACATTTATCTGTACTCCTTTTGCTGTTGCTTTTAAACAATACCAAAAATCAATTATAAAATAAGAATGAAAATTAGCTTATCCTTGCTCTCTCCCTCATTAATAAGCAGAGGATATACTACTCATACCTTAAGATGAAAAATGCCAGAATTTTTGTTAAAAACCAATCCATATCTGGGGAAATTTTTCAGATTAATGGGGAAAATAACGAACACAGCTTTTAAACTGTATATCTCAATTTAATGATACCAGAATAGTATTAACCCAAGTCCTTTAAGCTCAACCTTAAACAACATAAAACCCAAAAAGTTATTTAAATGATGAGGGAGACGTGAACCAAACACTAAACTACAAATCAAATTGCTACAGACAAGAAGAAAAAGAAACAAAACAGATAAGGAGCAAAAGATAATTTTATTCTATACATGGGATGCTAAAATATTTGAAAATAACTTTCCCACTTTTGTTTATGTTGCAATATATAAAGTGTTTTTGTTTAAATTGCAGTATCTTCTATAACCCACCACAAAAGATGATTAACAACCTATCTACTAAAATCTAATGAACATGTGCATACACAAAAAACTCACTGCATTTTATAATCTGTAGAGTCCTCAAATGATTGTATTTTGTTTGGTTAATGGACTGGATGACATTTAAATCACCTAAGAAACCAAAGAGTTACTATGTCACATTCAATCTAACTTTATGCTTCACTGATACTGCAGTACCTCTCTAGCTAAAAATAATTTTTCAACATTTTCCCAAAGTAGTTTTCCTTTGAAAAATGTGAGTTAAGCAAAATAATAAATATAGTATGCAGAATATAAATACTGACTGAAGAACAAGAATAAATGCCAAACAACTTTAATTTGTTTTTAAAAGGTAAAATCTGCATTATAAATAAACTATAGCTAAAACCTATTTACTGAGTAGCCATCATGGTCCTCAGCACTAACCCCGAGCTGGCCACAGGGGGTTAAAAAGAAAAAGAAAACATTTCCTAACAAATAGTAAAGCACAAGACCAAGCTGTATATGTGTAGAGCAAACTTGACATATATATGTTTATGTATGTCTACACACACCATAAAATCAAGATAATAAAAAGAACATAACTGGAACCTGGGGCAGGGGTGGGTCTGGGTAAAAGGATGCCCAGGCAGAACTATTACCTGGCACATAAATGGCTAACTGCTGGGGCCTAAGTCAAGAGCAGGAGTGCTCACTACACTGTCCAAAGGGTCACATCTGATTTCAACAATCCTTGACTCAGGTGTTATTCCATACAGCAGAACATCATTACAAGCTAAGTGAAGCAGGTATTAGACATAGGAGTAACAATGGTTTGGAAAATGAATAATACAACTGGTATTTTTAAAACAAAAGGTAATGTCTACAGACATCTGACACACAAAAGTATCACTGTGGGAAAAAAATTGTTAGGAGGTATTATAAAGAAAACCATGAGCTGAACTCAAGTGAAAAAGAACCAGGATCTGTGGACAGCAGCTGTGACTGAAAGGCACAGCTCTCACTGTGCATATGCAAGCCTGGAGTCCAATCCCAGCCACCACAAACGTCACCATGGAGGGTGTGTCTGGACATAGACTTGAGGAGGAAGGGGAACTGGCCAAGCAGCCCTGAACCCTCATTCCCGCCCAGCACTGTTCTCCAGGGCAGTCCCATCCAGGACCTAATTCTTTGGGTTTCTAGAACAGAGGTTTTTGGTGCAAGGAGCAAAGATGTTAAGGGTTTTTATCTAAATGTGAAGTTGTAAGATCTTATTATCTAAGTATAACCTTGCTAGATCTCTCTAGGGGCCCTTCAGCTGGACCTATTTCCTACACAGAAACAGATCCCAAATTCTGAAAGATCAATAAGAGACCTTATATGATACACTAGATTCAAGAAGAAATCACAGAGGGGTCATAAAGAAGCAAGCCTGTAATTGTGGTGTAGACAGCTGTTCTCGACCTTAAGGGTAAAGGATTTGTCTATCTTTATGTTTTCTTCAATTAACATTTTTTATATTCTTATTGTAGAGGACAATGAGGACAACTCTCCTCTCCTTGAAAGAAGAATAACTGTCTTAATTTTGGCCAAACCTGGCCCTATTTCTGTGTATTTATATGTGCACAGCTGGCTAAATTTTGTCTTTATCCCCTCAATTGGCTGTAAGCAATGCAACCGAGTCTAGCCTGAGGTGCTGATGCATAGTCCTGAAAGCTATAGGACACATCAGTGATGTTCCACCTACAGTTCCACAGTTCCCAAGTATTATGTGTGAGCTGGAACACTAAGAATGAGCCTTAAGAAAAAAACACTACGACTTCTAAGGAAATGAAAATTACACATAAAAACTGAAGCACTGACCCCAAAACAATAGACATTTGATTTCAGGCCTCCTACCTATTCCAGGTCACAGCACTCACCTACTTCCCTCCACTCTCAAAGTCATTCATCCCTAAGCCTCTCTCTTCTTCACCAGTCAATAAAACCCCTGGTTTTGCTGGGTCAAGGCCTTTATTCCAGTTAGCCATTATTCTGACAGGATTTAAGAATCCCCGTGGCTCCACATAACTACAAATAGTGTCTGTATTTTTGTCATGCATTGCACTAGAAGTGGCAGATTAGAATTAGCTTATTAAAATTCTAATAACTTTTCCATGGATTACAAATATGGGCTTTTGTGGACCATGATGAGGTGCAGAAGGGCTTTCTATATTTATCATTTAAGGGGTCAGAAGGGGTCAGGGCATCAGTAACCAAAACTCCAACAAAGACATTAGAGGAAAAGAGTGAAAGAAGTCATACACCATCCTTCTGGTTTAGTTGACTGCAACCTTTAAACTTCAAGCCACAGGTATCTCCCCACAATCCCACATGCCTAACTCACCAAGACCAGATGTTTAGAGCCAACCTTCCAATCAGTAACTCAGAGTACACTTTCCTGAGTGTCTCTGGTCATATCTACCTACCAGACTGAGAAAAAAGTCAGGCTGGTTAGATAGCTCAGCCTGGTTAGGCAAGCACAGGGCCCAGGGTTTGATCCCCAGCACTACACGCTGCACCATCCTCAGCCCCGGGTGCAATGATCCAGCCACCAAGACTGGGCATGGTGGTGCACACCTGCAATCCCAGCACTGGGAAGGCTGAAAACAGGAGGATCACTATGAGTCCAAGCTGCGTAGTGAGACCCTGTACCAAAAACACACACAAAAAAAGAAAGAAAACTAAAAAAAAGTCTGTGGCAGGAGTTAGGGCAACGCAGTGATTCCAAACTCAACTGTCTTGCCCTGTTATCAGTTATTACATGAAAAACATGGCCAATAATAGGGCATCAGAAAGAATGAACACACATTTGAAAAGGAATTTAAAAATTCATCTAAGAAAAAGAGAAAAGAATGCACATTAAGTTTGGTAAAAAAATTTTAGGAATGAGACATTCCTAAGAGTTATATTCTTGAATATAACCCAATTACTTTTACCATTAATCCTCCAACATGCCAAAATGAAACAAATTATAACAAAAGTTGTTACTGAAACAATTACAACATGAAAAAATATATCTAATTCTCCCCACAGACACCTGTTGTTGTTGTTGTTGTTGTTGTTGTTGTTGCAGTATCGAGGATCAAACTCAGCCTCATACATGCTAGGCAAGTACTCTATCACTGAGCAATACCCTAGCTCCATGCCTATTTCTTAACTTACATTTTATTACAGACTGTCATGAGCTCTTGATAGTTTGCCAATGTTCATCTTTAAGAACTCTTGAAATCAGATTATACTGAAAGGTGCATTTACACAGCTATTTTTAAAAAGACATTCTTATGTATGATACTGCAACTTTAAAAAAAAAACACGTAACACTAAATATTTTCTTCTCAATTTCCTTATATTAAAAGTTAAAAGATAACAAGATACTGTCACAATGTGCATAATAAAGTATACCATTTATAGAATAAAAAGGTTATTACACAGGGGGAGTGTTAAAAAAAAAACCACTAACCAATCTATAAACAAATTTCTACATTTACAAAAATTCAGCTAATTTTGTTTCATAACATTTTATGACAAGGTAGTTTACACTTCAATTTCACAAAATATAGTAACACTGCGAAGTAACCATTCATTCAACATACACTAAACATCTAATTTGTGTCAGGCACTGTTCTAGGCACAAAACATAGAGTGGTGAACAAAGAGACAAAAATATCCTCAAGGAACATGAAGACACACCACAGAGTTGCACAAAGAAAAATAAAGAGAAACTATCTGTTGGTTTTAAGAGGCCAAGTGCCAAGTATCTCTTTTCTCCCCGTATGTAATATTCTATTTAAGAAAAGAATGGAAATCCAGCCCTGGAATCTCTTACCTTAAATCTAAGCAACCACTTAATGCATAAATGTAGCAAATAAAGAGGTAAGGAAAAAAAGCATTGAAAGGTTAGTTGGAACTTCAGGATGTGAAGAGAAAGGAAAAAAAACAAAAAACAAGTTAAGCATTCAGCATTAACAAAATAATGTTTCAGTAGATCACAGAAAGAGTGATTAAAGCAGAATGTGTCATGAACAGGAGTTTCTTTGATGAAATTAAGACACTGTTTTATTCAAAAAATTTCATTAGTGATCTCTTCAAATTAGTAACCCTTAAATGCTATATACAAATAATGAAGGGACTACAGAGTCCTAAAAGAATAACATTTTACTCTGAAGATTAAACAAGAGTTGCAGGACGTAATCTTTTTATTACATTAACAGGTAAGCACAAATGTGATTTTTAAAATATATTCCACATGTCTTTTGGCATTACATTTTGACTGTACCTAAAATAGTCTATTAACAGCTATTGGCCTTAAATAAATTTTCTCAAGTTAAAATAAACTTCCGTTATTAATTATCCAGTTACACAGCCTACTTTAACATGCTCTAATTAAACAATCTAAAAGCATAAATTAAATATCAAATTCCAGGTAATAAAGCTTATATATCAAAACCATGAGGAGGCACAAAAAATTTAAAGTAAATTTACACTGCGTATTTTCTTATTATCTTGAGATATATTAAATTTATGTTTAACTTATTTCTGGCTATAATGGACTAAGTGCATTTTTTATTTAAATAGATATACTAGAAAAGCAAATCAACTACATGCCTGTTCACCACAGGCATACATGTATATTTATTCAAAGTCAATTTATAGGTAACTGTCTTTCAAACCAGATGCATATGTTAAATACCTTTACACTTAGCTGAAGCTCGAAATCATCTTAAGTACAATCACTAATGTAAGTAAAGTGAACATGTCCCTCAGCTGTGACTGGTGTTTCTGCTGGTTTGGTTTGGTTTTGTTTTGGTTGATACAGAGGACTAAACCGAGGGTAGCACTGCTCTTGCAAAGAACACACTTTAATACTGAATGCTGCTCAGTTCTGACACTGACACTTCATATACATACTGGGCATAAAAGACACCCAATGGGGCCAGGGAGATGGCTCAGTAGGATAAGTGCTTGACCGGCAAACGCAAGGATCTGAGTTCAATCCCCGGTTTCGCAGGAAAACAAAAAACAAAAAACAAAAACAAAAAAAAAACCAACACCCAAAATATAATGGTACATACTCAAAAACTGTAGAAATATTAATTCACATATTACTGTACTTTTGTCACCAGTATTCTCAACCTAAATCAAGAAATTGTCCTAGGGAAGAAAAATCAAAGTACATGTTTTTTAACATGTTGTTTCTAAAACCTAATGCCAAAAGCCTGCTGACAAATTCTTGCAATAAGATAAACATTTTAGTAACAAGCTGAATCATTTTTCAGTAGTACTAATCATCAAAAGATTAGAAAAATCATACAATATTCTATGTGTTCTTTATGTGGCATTATCATAATTTATTAAACAAATGCAATTTGTTTGAAGACTTTTGAAAACTTAAGAGCACAGCACTGAGAAAAAGCAAAAAAGAGTCTTTAAAAGTTATAGGAGTAAAGAATCTTCACAACCATAATTAGATCAGGACTTGCTCCTCTAGGAAAAACAAGAGCTTATTTTCTAGAGAGTTCCATTATAAACTACTATTTTTAAAAGCTTGACAAAAACTGTACCTACCTTTACTCCATGGCCAATGTCATCTAGAATTGTATAGTCAATAGGTTTTCTAATATAACGAACTGGTCTTTCCAGGTTGGTTGGAGCAATAATCTTGTGTGTCCTTGAAGTGTTTTTATTGGTAGTTAAAATACCAATTTCTCTTCTCGCAACTTTCTCTTTATGAATATCAACTGTCTGCAAGATATAATATTTTTTAAAAGACAATACAAAAATGTATGCTCTGGTATCCAGAAAAATCAAAATATAAATGACCAGAAATTTAGCATCGTTGTTCGTATTCACTTGTTCATCTTCTCCTTTCTGAATTACAAAACTTATTCCATTTTTAGGTCAAAACAAAGGCTGACAAACTATGGGGCAACACAGGTCAAATATGGCCCACCACCTGATTTCTATAAACCACAAGCTAAGTGCAGTATTTTTTTAATGGCTGGGGAAAACAAAAAAAAAGTTATATGTCAAAACTATATGAAATTCACTTTTCAAAGTGTAGTAGCACACACCCATGCTGCTCACATGCCAACTTGTCTGTGGGAGACTTTTATACTGCAACAGCAGAGATAAATAGTCATAACAGAGAACTAATGACCCAAGTCTTAAACATTAACTGATCCTGCATGGAAAGTTCACCAACCTCTTATTCAAAGCATGCCAATATTTCCTTTCCATTAAGATATAGCTTAATACAATGATCAAGGAAGCCCCAATGATTAATCTGGTTAGTATAAGTAGTATACTTTATTAAAGGTTTATTATTTTTTTTAATTTTATGTATTTGGCTCAGGGTCTCACTACACAACTCAGAATGAGTGATCCTCCTGTTTCAGCCTCCCCAGCACTGGGATTATAGGCATGCATCACCACACCCAGTCTTTTTTTTTTTCATAATTTTACTGAGAAGTAAATAGCAATGAGACAGTTTCAAATCAAATTGGTAGGACAGTTCCAATAATTAACACATTACATACTGCCTTCCTACTGGTTGTTTGTTGTACAAGATGCAGATATGATAGCCTATTTACAAACACTATTAGAACAAATCCCTCTATTCCTTGAATTAAGAGAATGTAGCTATATATCTATCCTAATCATTTGAATACAAAGAATACAAAATGGTCATTCATCTATATCCCCTTTTCTTATTTAGTTCCATCATTTAAATATTGTAGGTGTGTGAACTCAGCAAAATATTGCAAAATAGTCCAGTGGTCCATAATAGTATTGGGTCTTCCACTTGACTGGCAATGTCAGAAATTGTTGACCTGAGAACCCTATAGCTCAACATAACAACATGGCTTTATTTCTTGTACTTCATTTTTATACTTTTCTGCTGGATGGTTAAGACCAAGATAAAGCAAGACCTATGTAACAAGAATTGTAGCTTTTGGATCTGATAAGTGCAGTCAAATCCCCTCAGGATTTTTCCTGAGATCCTGTACCTCAGATTGTAGATCCTTTGTCAATGTCAGCCACGTGGATGAGTCATGGCCATTGCTTGACCAATATGCTCTCTGTGAATGCCTGAGAGAATGTTTTCTCTCCATGTGACTCTCCTTAGGCAGGCACACTCTACATCATCGATCACTTTCCTCTTTGGCCCCATAATCTCCTTGATCAGAAAATTTGGGACACAACCCATGCCCAGTCTTGATGGCCAGTTTGTAGCTCCTGGAGCAGAGCCAGCATCCCCAGGTCCTTGAGCTTGCCTAGGCAGATGCTTAGACACTGAGATATCTCCGCAGCCCTATACTTTAAAATAAGTTAAAGGTTCTATTAGTGTTTAAACATCTTTCTGTTGGGGGGGTGGCTAAAATATAATATTAAAAATGTGTAAGTTTGTATTGGGCAAAGCTGCTTATATTTTCAGGTTTTTTTTTTTTCTTTTTGGCAGAACCAGGGATTGAACTCTGGCCCTTGTGCTTGCCAGGGAAGCACTTTTTCTACTGAGCCATCTCCCCAGCCCCTGCTTATATTTTCTTGTGACATAATCCTTATCAAACACCTCCTTAATTTGGTTTGATTATAAACACATTAGACCCAATTTAGTACAAAAGGTAATTATTTTTACAGTCTTCTATTTGATAAAAAAAGTGTGAATTCTTCAGATGATTAATCCACCAAAGCATCATAATTGAAACTGCAAGTTGCAACTTAGTGGTTAAGTAGCAATTATTTCAAATGAAATAGAGCAGAAGACTGCAAGTACACACAGTACCCACCGTTTCTTTCTTCTTTTTTTTAATGTATTTAGTACAGGGTCTCACTACACAGCTCAGACTCGTAATGATCCTCCTGTTTTTAGCCTCCCAAGCGGTGGAATTACAGGTGCATGCCACCATGCCCAGTCTTACCCATTGTTTCTTTCTTTCTTTTTTTAATGTATTTAGGACAGGGTCTATAGGGTCTCACTACGTAGATTGGACTTACAGTGATTCTCCTGTTTTCAGCCTCCCAAGTACTGAGATTCCAGGTGCACGCCACCATGCCCAGTCTCAGTTGCCATCTCAGGGCACCCCGTGGGTGGGGCTGGCATGGCACACCAGGGATTGAACCCCAGCCACTGCATCCTGCCTAAGCAGGTGCTTTAGTCCACTGAGCTATCAGGTGGGCCCTTACCCACTGTTTCTGGAAAAACATTTGTTTTATATAGAAATATGTACATGAATTAGGTACTGGTTTCAACGTGAAATGTATTGTTCCTTGAGGTATACAATTAAAAGCCTTTGAAAACACTAAAACTGGCCACATGTCTTATCACCATTCCTGGCTCAAGCAAATTAACAGACACTTTTTTTTTTCAAGTGAAGTTCTACATGTCAAATTCTTTCTAAAAGAAGTAGTTAACAATAAAGAGATGGCAAACATTTGATATTAAATACTACTTGAAATCTCAAAGCTGATCACTTATCCTTCTAAATCTCCTGTCGCAGTGGAGGAGAACCTATGGCACATGTGTGACAGCTAGCTGGCTGTTATCACTGAAAGCTCCAAAAGGTTCACCATCATTGTGCATGAGGTAAACTTGCAAGAAATTCAAAGCCTGTTTTCCTACAACCAAAAGATCTTAAAAACAACAGAATCTGTTTTATATTAAATGTCTAAATTAAGCTTAAATCAAAACCTGACCAAGATAATAATTTTAAGTATTTTTAAGAAAAATTAAGTCTCCAAACATTTTCTATGTATGACATGTAGGTTATAAATCATGCTGCCATTTTCAAGGAGCTATCAAGAAGAGAATATTGCATTAGTGACATTTTTAACTTCAGAAAAATAAAAGTTTGAATAAAGTTTAATGTAGTATAAAAGGTCATTAAAAATATGGGCTATCAGGGCCAGGAAGGTAGCTCAGTAGAATAAGTGCTTGCCTGGCAAGTGCAAAGTCCTGAGTTCAATTCCCAGTACCACAAAAAATAAAGGGGGGGGACTATGAAAATTATTTCATACTTCAAAATATAACACTTCATGTAACTGGCTTTTGTCATACAAGAGAAAGCTTATCAGAAAAGGTATACACTCTTTGAGATTCTGCTTTTTATTTTCCTTAGTTTTTAGAAACATAACTTCCTCAGAAATGAAACCATAAGGATACAAACCCGACCAACCACAAAAGAATTCTAAGCTTACAGCAACATGAAACTTTTGACACTGGAGCCTGAAGACTCTGCTGTGGGGTCTGTGTTAAGCATGGCATGTATAGAGTGGCCGGGCAGACCCCTTGTGAGCACTCCCTCACCCTGAACTGTGACAACTAAAAATGTACCCTTGTGTGCAAAATTGTCTAGTCGAATTTAGAAGAAAGACTAATTGAGTTTATTTCTTACATTATTTGCTTTCAAATAGCAAAAAGTTCCAAACTTTTCACAAGAGTTGACCCAAGATTAATGCCTCCAAGACTCTGGGTTGACCCCAGCACACCTCTTCCCTGAAAAAAAAAAAAAAAGATTAATTCCTCTAATGATTGCCTAAAAATAGTTTTTTGGGCAATGATAACTTTTTAAAAATGTCTAACATAATAAAAGTAACACATAGTTATAAAAATCAAAGAGTATAATACTTATTCCTGCCATCCCATTACACTAGGCTGAAATGCAGGTCTATGGACAAAACCAAATAGATCTCCCAAAAATGGTTGTGGTTTTATCTATAGCTTGAATAAAAACTTGATGAACACAAAAGATATTCAATACATAAGGAGGGTATTTGATCCAAAAGATCTGAGGGATTTTTTTTTAAACAGTTTAAGAATCTATTTCAAGATTCCTAAAACTTCCTCTTGCAGAAAATCTAATGCATTCAAATTAAGACAGAATAACGTAGTCAAACCACTTGCTAGGTACCAAGCACTTAGCTTCAACATTCATCAACTCACAATCAGTTTTTAACAATATTTAATATGATAAAGTTCCTATATAGTATTTTTAAATAAAAAGTCTTCTGTTTTTCCTACATCAAATACATTATTCAGCAATCACCACTGTCTTCATAAAATTCTTTGACACTGCACTACTAAAATGCATTAAGTTAAATTTTTGGAAGTACATATTCAACAGTGATATTTAGGTAGACTTTTAATAGAAAATTATTTCAAATTTGTCCTGGGTTTCTAAAATCACTATCTGAGGGCCGGAGAGATAGTTCAGTAGACTAAAGCACCTGCTTAAGCAAGCTTAGGCAAGCCCAGGGACCATAGTTTGATCCCCAGCACCACATACTGCCCAGGGCGGGCTGAGCTGGACACAATCCAGCCATAGTGGTGCATTCCTATAATCCCAGTGCTGGGGAGGCTGAAAGCAGGAGGATCACCACAAGTCTGAGCTGTGTAGTGAGACCTTGTAACAACCAAATACATAAAAAAACAAAGTCACTATCTGATAATAAACTAGTTCTTATTTAGATGAGGCCTCTAGGAGTGCACTCCCCTGTAGCAATTAAATCACGTGTATAGCTAACAAAGACCATAGTAATACAAGTACACCTGATGTTAATACTACCAACTGCCACCAAGTCTGCTAACCAGAAGCACATGGAGAAATGTCACTGCTCTTGCACAGCTCTCTCCCATGACTCCTTAGTAATCCATGTTCCCATCCTTCTCATGGCTGTGTCTATTGCATGCTACAGTCTCCTCCCAGAACACTTGCCACACAATGCCACAACCAAGTCCTGTGAGA